TCCCGGACGCTGGGGCCCCTCCCGGACGCCGGGGCCCCTCCCGGACGCCAGGCCCCCTCCCGGACGCCGGGGCCCCTCCCGGACACCAGGGCCCCTCCCGGACGCCGGGACCCCCCTCCCGGACACCAGGGCCCCTCCCGGACACCGGGGCCCTCCCGGACGCCGGGGCCCCTCCCGGACGCCGGGGCCCCCTCCCGGACGCCAGGCCCCCTCCCGGACGCCGGGGCCCCTCCCGGACGCCAGGCCCCCTCCCGGACTCCCGGGCCCCTCCCGGACACCAGGGCCCCCTCCCGGACACTGGGGCCCCTCCCGGACGCTGGGGCCCCTCCCGGACACCAGGGCCCCCTCCCGGACGCCGGGGCCCTCCCGGACGCCGGGGCCCCTCCCAGACACCAGGGCCCCTCCCGGACGCCGGGGCCCCTCCCGGACGCCAGGACCCCCCTCCCGGACGCCGGGGCCCCTCCCGGACGCCGGGGCCCACCTCCCCGCCAGCAGCAGCTCGCGGGGGCCGGCGCGGGGCCGCAGCAGCCGGTAGAGGTCGAGGGTGCCGAGGGCGCCGGCGCTGGCGAACACGGAGGCCAGCGAGGACATGAGGGCGGCCACGAGCCCGGCCAGCAGCAGCCCCCGCAGCCCTGCGGGGCGGCACCCGCCTTGCCCCAAACGCCCCCAAACACCCCCAAAGTACCCCCAAATTGGCCCAAATACCCCCAAACCGCCCCAAAATGCTCCCAAGTTGCCCCAAGTAGCCCCAAAATACTCCCAAATTGCCCCCAAATACCCCCCAATACCCTCAAGTCCCACTAAATTGCCCCAATACACCCAAATAGTCCCAAAGAGTCCGAAATACCCCCAATTTCCCCCAAAATACCCCCAAAAGCCCCAAAATACCCCCAAATATCCCCCAAGCACCACCAAATTGCCCAAAATAGCCCAAATCTACCCAAAATACTCCGAAATTGCCCCAAGTAGCCCCAAATACTCCCAAGTACCCCCAAATTGCCCCAAATACCCCCAATTTCCCCCAAAATACCCCCACACTGCCCCAACTATCCCCAAATTGCCCCAAAATGCTCCCAAATTGCCCCAAATAGCCCCAAAATACTCCCAAATACCCGCAAGTACCCCCAAATTGCACCAAATACCCCCAAGTTCCCCCAAA